ATGTGTCCTTATCTGTTCATTAAAACATTAATTTTTTTAATTTTATTTTTTAAAAGAAGTTAACATTTTACTATATCCTTTTTATTTATTTTATTGTTTGTTTTTATAATTTTACCTTTATTATCTTATGATGGTAGAGTTATTTGTGGGCTTAAAATTAGGGCAAAAGCTCCCCCCCCCCCCCCCATCTTTTTTTTTTTAATAATATAAAGTTGTTGATTATTAAATAGTGTTAAAAGATGATATTATAGCATGCCAAAATAGTTGAATTGCTTTGTGTGGGTTCAAATTCTTTTGTATGCACACTTTTTTTTAAATCTTTTCCAATTTTCTAGAATAGAAAGTAAAACATTTTTAAAAGCCTATGATATTATGTGCTTAACAAGTATAAAAATATTATATACTATAACAAGCGAAAGAAAGGGTTTTTTTAAAAAAATTTTAAAATTTCTAAAAACTTCTAAAAATTTCTAAAAACATAAAAACCTTGCATGAAATCTGTGCGCATGTCATGATAGAGATTTTGTCATATTAATGCACTTAGTAATTAGTTAAGTCTGCATTTTTTATAAAAATAAAAATTTACATGCAAACTTCAATTTTTTTTTTAAACTAATGGGGGAAGTTATAAAGTATTGAACAATAATCATTAATTCAAAGTAACAATTTTTATATTTTGCTTTTTTTTAAAAAGTTATTGAATTAAAGCGAAATTATTAAAATGGTCGGTGTGAAATAGACTTACGATGAGCAGTATTATACGTGTCATGGTAAGTCAATTATTTCACATATTTAAGTCAACTCATGTTTTTTGAAACTTTTTATACCAAAGGTAATTAACACATTTAAAGTTTTTTAAAATTATTTATAAAAGAAATTTTTTTAATAAACAATAAGTATAATTTATCTATAATTATTTTTTTTACTGCTTACTAATATATATTTAAGTAAGGAACAAGTAAAGAAAAGGCCAGTGTGGAATAGATGTACCAAGACCCATATTATACAGGTCATGACAGCAAGTTAATACAAATGTCCAGGCTGAGCATGTCAACTGCTTTGAAGTCTTTTTCAATTATTGAATAACAACCATCAACTCTAAGATCATAGGTCATAAAAATTGCAAGTAAGTGAATTTTGCAAAAGGTAAGATTCAAAATATAAAAACTTTTTCAAAAACCATGATTTGCCATGGATAGATAGAAACAATTTGATGGTGAAAATGTTTTTTTAATAAAAAATTTTGGTCCCTAAAGTTATTTTAGTCAAATGACATGCCAAAAACCCAGATGAAAATATTTTCATAATAAGTAACCAATGACAAAAAAACTTTGAAGTAAAATTGATAAAAAAAACCTTGTTTTAAACCATAAAGCACAGTGGGCCAAACAGTGGGCTCAAAAATCAATATTACCAAAATAAATTTAAGTTGGTCTTTATTGAAAGCCAAATAAATTTCCAGTTCATTAAAAAAAAATCAATTCCAAAGCATGATTTGTTCAGGAAATAAACTAGTTTGAATAACGCAAATTTGTTGCAAAAGATATGTAATAGGTATAAATGATACATAAAAGTCATTTTTGGCTTTATATAAGAAAAAATGTCACTTTATAAGCAGTGCTAATGTGATAATTGTATGTAGAAACAATTTTAGACTGCAATTTATGGAAATGTGAATGTTAACTTCATAGATTATTGCATATAGTTTTACATTATTTTGTACATATTTTTATAAAGGGAAGATGTGTTCAGTAAAAGTGTATGTCTAGAAATTAATCAAAAGATTAACACCAATATTTGACCAACACCTCCACCCCACCCCCCTCCAGCCCTCTTTTCTATTGAACTTTTTTTTAAACAAATTTTATCTAGTTTGTACAACCATTAATAAAAAAAAATGCAGCATTGAAATATGTTTTAAAATGAAAAAACTGCATGAGTTAAAATCAAAACTGAAGGCTTGTTGGTGTATATAGTAATAATATTATATTTTTACTTATCACATAAACTTGTTTATATTTTGAATTATATTATTTTAAGTTTAAATCATTTTGTTTAAAAAGTCATTAGAAAATGAATCAACAAAAATATTTACATCTTTAGTTTGATAACAATCAAGCTCACTGAATTTGACTTATTTGAAATTTTTATTGCTGAGGAAAATAAACAAGCAAAAACTATTTCTGCAAATATAACAGGTAATTGCTTCTCACAAATATACGGCCTCATTCACACATTATAACACAAATGATAAAACAATGATCTATGAGTAAACAATTAAAAATACTGGTAATTGCAAAGCACTTGGCTCCGAAAAATTGCACAAAAAACAATAGTTCAGAATAGCAGGCAAAAATCTGCATCTGAAGAAAAACAAACTTTAAAAAAGGCGCCATGCTGGCATACAAATTAAGTGTGGTAAGGAAACTTTGCTTGAAGAGTATGTTAAAGAATAACACTTTCAATAAGTTTCTAATAGGAACAATTTAAACAGTTGGTGCTCTCGGTAGGCATTCATATACAAACTAAAATTTTTTACAATGATACAAGTCAAAATCATTCTGCAAATTTTGGTATGAATGAGGACATTCTGATAAATATTGTCATAAACAAAATATCTCTCAAAACATATGAATAAATTAAATATACATAATATACATACATATTTATAAACATTTTTACATACTTTTGTTTAAAAAAGCAAAATTTATGAAATTTTAAATATATTGTCTTTTAAATTATGACCTGTAGCAAAATTATTTTTTTAGTTTTTCCCAAATTTACACATAAAAACCTTTCCAAAAAGTCTTTAATCAAACCCATAACACTTTCCGCTCAAAAGTTATGAACCAATGTCCGTGAAAACAGCTGTTTGGCCCACTGTGTAAAGTGGCCCGCCATTTACATACATGTTAAGTCATTTAATGTGAGCCATTTCAGTCAAGCCACTTTTGAACAATTTTTAATATATTCAGGTCTAAAGATATCATTAAAGACATAAGATTAAAAAAGTAATTAACTTTATAAAAACCACTAATAAAGTTTGAATGATGATTAGGTAAAAAAGTTTGCATGACAATTACAATATTTAGCGCTATTTACAAAAAATTTCCTTATAATTTAGAAATAAAAATTATTTTAAAAGCTGTTTATATTCCTTGTAAGCATATTATAACACTGCATCAAAAAATGTTTATAAAGCATACATTTAACTATTTAGTTGTATATCAAGTGAAAGCGCATCAGTATATATTTTTTAATAAATTGTACTTATAAACTTAAATCTTGGTTTGTCACAAAAAAAAGCGCTTGTAAAGTAATTAACTTCTTTTTTTTTTTTTTTTTTTTTGCAAAAAGTAATATTTTTTGCTTGTAATACTTTTTATTTTTGTTTAACTTTTTAAAAGTAAAAAATAATATTATTTATAATAATATAAATAAGCCGCAATTTTAAGAAATAATAAAAAAAATTAATAATTTTTAATTCATTTATATAAATGTAGAGAAAAGAAAGAAATTAATTTATGTTTAATGACAATAAAAAAAATGAAATAATACAATTATTTGTTTAATATTAAAAAAAAAAAGTTGAAACAAAATAGACATTCCACTATATGTACATTTACAAAATAACACTAGATTTGTTTTTCTTAATTATTAAATTTAACTTGTTTTGTGGTAATTATTTTATTGCAGTAGTTTAAAAAAAAGTTAATGTCCATAAAATAAGTTAAAAAATATAAGTTAAAAAAGATAATTTTATGTCAATATTACAACAAGCTAATGTGCTAAACCATTTTTATTCAAAAAAAGGCCTGAGATAACTATTTTTTTAAAGTACAGCAATTCGATTTAACAGTCAAAAACAGTTCCTTTTACCCAAGAAATTCATGGAGTTTTATCCAGTAGTAAAAAGATTGAAAAATCTCATAGACAAATTTTTTTATTTATTAATATATATATTATTATTATATATATACACAGTGCCGTACCCAGTCGTAATCCATACCATTTTACCGGTATGGGCACATAAACTAATGCGCCCAAACTAAAAACTGCACATATCTTAAATTACAACATTTGTAATGTCTAACATTATTTCATAGAAAAAATTGTCCCTCTCTTTTCAATTTGTTTTCATTTGTATTCCTTCGTATTTATAAAATTACTTACAACAACAGTCCTAAAACTAAATGCACGGCTAACTACAATTTTTTGTCGTTAGCCGTAATACTTTATGTAATACTTTCAGTATTACAACTCGTTACGTATTACTATAATCTAGTTAATTAATAACTACAAAGGAGTGTTAATATCGTACTTGATAGAGTTTACATAAATTAAGTATTGAAACGTGGGAATCAATAATCGATAGATTTCGAGACAGTACCAAAAGCAGGATTCTCTTATAAACGATACATTAGTAACTTTTATTAAAGGTCTTTTAAAATGAAAACAATTTTTTTCAAGAGAACATAATTTCTTTTTTTTTAAATTTCTTTCCATTGTTGAATTACCTCCTAAACATAAAATATGCTAATATAAATTTTAGTATAAATTTCAATCAGATGCATGATATGGAAGCCTCCATACCAGCCCTTCTCCATAAAGCCTGGTATGGAGGCTTCCATATCAAAGAGGTTGGGGAGAGAAAAAAATTTGTATAAATGGTAGCGCCCAAATTAACGCTCAGTACGACACTGATATATATATACATATATATATATATATATATATATTATTATTATTATTATTAAAAAAATTGCCTTTATTCCTTTAAAAATATTCCTTATTCCCAACTTCCCAATCAATTCCCTTAAAAAATCTGAAAATTAAATTCAAGATACTTTACAACCATTTTACACAAACCAAAACAATTTTATATTTTATCCTGAGTTTTATCAATTTAATTAAAATTAATAAACAATGTTTACAAACCATTATTATCATACTAAATCCAAAATCTTTATATTGGTACAATATTTAAGAAACATTATTACCATACTAAGCCCCATTCCCTTGTATTGATAAACCATATTGGCAAGTAATTTGGAAGCGGCTGCAACTGAAATTCGCTCTTTGTTTCTTAGCTGATATAATCTAAAAGTTTAATTTAATAAAATTAACATGCAGTACTCAAAGTAAAGCTACAATATTATACATTTTACATAAAGCTATATATTAGCTAGATTAGGTCAAATCTAATGTTTTATAGGCAACCTTGTTCTTAAGGTAAAACATAGAATTAAAAGAAAAAAAAGTACCTCAGAGGTTTAATTTAACAGAGAAACTACAGTAGCGTACAAAAGTTTAGAATTTTTTTTATAGTTTTTAAAGCAAAGTTGACCAAATACACTAAACTTTTTACTCTTGGTGCTATATATTATATCAATTTAAATACAAACCACAAAAATTGTAAACTTTAATGTTATTGTAATTGTATTAATAGTAAAAATAAAAATATTTTTAAAAAAAAACTTCTGTGCTAATGCTTAAAAATAGTATATCATCACCAGTAATTGAACAAAGTTTTGTAAACAAAAGCAAATTAAAAGGCCAAATTACATTTTACTTCAAGATATTTTAAAAGCAACAATATATTATGCAAAAATATTTGTAAACATTTATAATTTGATTACTCAGTGACATATTTAAAAAGCATGGGAAACAAAGTTTCAAATGAAATAATAAAATTAATTTTCAAAGAGATAGGGAAAAAACTTACAGAAAAATTAAAGAACTTTACAAGGTTTCTCAACTTAAACCTGGTTTGGTTTCTAAATCAGGTTTAAGTCAAAAAGTCTTATTGAAAATTATGAGTATCATTTTATTGGTAAAAATTTATTGAAAATTATTTAAATTATTTTAAATATTAACGATAACTTAGTAATTTTATACTACAATATACTATTTTAATAATTTAGTAGTAATTAAATGTTTAAAATACTTTAAATAATTCTTTTTAATCAATATTTAAAAATAGCGCATATTTAAAACTAAAATAATTACGCTTAATAAATGCTTACGTTTTGTATTCAAATAATGTCTATAATAATATATTATATAGACAATAACTTTTCGCTTACAAAACATAAACAAATAGTATAATTAAATAAAATAAAGCAAATAGTAGGATTTAAACCAAAATGATGCACTTCAGAAACGCGGCGAGCTAACCACTTCCATCACATAGACATGTTGTCTAACAAAAAGTTTGAAACTATTTTGTAAATGAAAGACTTTATAAAATAAGCAACTAAGCTTTTGTTTCTTATAGTGTACAATATCTTTATATATGTTATGTATATAATATGTGTAAAACTTCAAAAGCGTTAAATTTTTTATTTTAGAAAAATTGTAAAATACTAAAAAAAAAAGAAAAGGTGCCAGTGGTACAGGCTTGGTCGGGAAGCGGGTGCGATCCCACTTTATAACTGACCACAGAAATATTTAGTTGCGAAAAACCGACCAGATTTTTTAGTCGTTTTAAGAACATTTAAGTTTATGTATGTTTCCTTGTTTGTCCACAAAATAATAAGTTTATTATTTTATCGTAAATTTTAGAATATTTTGTTTTACGGACTTACATGGAAACACACATAAACTCAAATGTTCTCAAACTTTGTGCGGAAAAATTAAAAAAAAAATTGCAAACACAAAAAACCCACTAAATCTACAAACAACTAATTCTATTGGTTCAAAAAATACTAGCCAAGTATTAAAAAAATACAAACCGAATATTCTAGAGTATTATGTTGAAATATTTTAAAAAATTATTTGAGTTTTGTTATGTGTTTGTTGAGATTTCTAGCATAAATTATTTTAAGAATATACTATCAAACAAACTATTATTTTAATAATATGTCATTCTCGGAGCCACTACAAAGCTATAAATGTTTTAAACTAACATTATTTGTTTAAAAAAATAAATTTTTAAATTTATATTTTTTAACTTGTCAAAGTTTTGTAAATATGTTATATTAGTATACTCTTATTTTTTAAGGGATGATTTTTATTGTATTATATTTTTATTGATTTATATTGTATTATTGATATTTTTTATGTATGATTTTATTAGTATACTCTTATTTTTTAAGGGATGTATTTTTTATGTATGCAATGTATTTTTATGTATGTAATTTTATGTATGTGTATTTTATTCAAATGTAATCTTTTAAAGCAATTTGTGCAATTAATTTTGTAAACAAAAATACTTTCAATAATAACTGCGTTTTCAATGAAATTATTAATAATCATCAAAGTTAATACAAATAATTTTAACCACTAATTCAGTTTCCTCAGTATACCCGATAACTGATTTCTTTCCCCCAAGAAAGAAAAGTTTTAAAGTTCTTAGAAATCGGTTTACTAACTTCAATTATTTTTGCTTCAGCCATTCTTACAAACTCGTAATACTTAAACTTAAAGTTACTCTTTTCCGTTTTAAATACTTATAAAAATTATAAAGCCCACTCACTAAACATCATCAGCGGTATTGTGAAGCAGCTCCGCTTCCTCCTCACTAAGTAATTTAATGTTTAGTTAATTTCTATATAGCTAATTGAATTTCTACAGTAACTCGATGATTTAATCATTTCATTTGTTTATCTTACTAAGAAGAATTGTTTCAAACGTGTTGAACTTCTTAAGCTACATAAAGCATATAACAGTTATTGAAAAAACTTTTTTATTTATAAATAAATCATCTAGCGTTAGTTTTATTGGTTGAATCTTGTTGGACTTTTCAAGGCCAAGGGTTGCATTACATTGGTGGCATTTATTATGTGCCACAGCATAAAAATGACTAAAAAAATACCGAATGATCCTCTTGACTATTTTGCGGCCCCTAACATTGTGAGCCCCAGGGCTATAGTCCTTCTACTCCCCCACCTCCTCAATCCAGCACTGGAAATAAGACATGAGTATATAAATAAAAATTATATATACTCTTTGATAAATCGAAAAACATTTGTTTCTTTATTAAACAATCATTAATAGTAAGTAGTTACTTTATGTAAAAAATGTCGCTTGATTTTATAAAAAAAATTTAAAAAGAGCAACATTTCAAAAATATTTGCTCTAATCGTATTTATTTAGCTCAATGTTTTTTTGCGTTAAAAGCTATTTTCTTTTTTTAAAGCTATTGTCTCTCATTGGTCCAGATAACCTTGTTGCACTTTTTTGTTTGTTTTTGAAATGATCTCAAAATGACTAAAAAATCTGGCCGGTTTTATGCAAATAAATATTATTTCCGTGGTCAATTATTGAGTGTGTATCTGCTTCTTGACCAAGCCTGGTGGTAGGATTAAAACCACTATGCTTAGCATCAGAAACTCTGCAAGCTAACCACTTTGGCCACTAAGGTGTAATTCTTTGAGAAAAGTTTTGATGCTATTGAATTAACAAAAAAATTAAAAACAGTAAATAAATTCTATGAATCAAAATTAAGGATATTTTTAAAAAAAAAAAAGTGCAGTGACTCTTTCTTGCCATTATCTGGGATGCAACAGATGTCAAAGGTTCCGTGTCAAATTAAGTTGAGCAATAATATAAAGAGATAACAATAATAATAATTATGATGATGATAATAATTATAATAATATTCATACTGATATTTTGCTGCATGAACTTTATTATTTTGTCTCTTGTTTGATATTTTATAGAGTGGCACAATCATAATATTTTGCATCATGAATTTTGATATCAGGGTTAAGGTTAGAGCTAGGGTTGCCAACCTTAACTGAAACCTTTATTTGATATAGATTAACTTAACTCGTGTTCTCTCTATTTAAGACAGTCAATGTATGTACACTTTGCTGTACGCATTCATTAGGTTGCAAAATATTAATAAAATATTAATATTGTCATTACCGTAATATTAATCCTAAAAATAAACCAATATAATGTTATGTGACAACAATAATTTATATATTATAAAATTAATGCTTAGGGTAGGGTTGGCAATCTGAATGTTAACTCTAACCTTAACCTTGATATCAAAATTCATGGTGCAATATATTATGACTTGTGTAATTTTTAAAACAATATATAACAGAACTTAAAAATAAAATAACCTATATATAACTGTAAACTTCAAGCTGTGCAATAAAAACATTAATTATTACATGTTTACTTTTACTTGAAAATTGCAGTTCACCAATATCTCCTTTATTTCACCAATATCTCCTTAATTTAAATTTTTATATCAGATAAATACTTAAATTAAAAAAAAAGAAAAGTTAAGTTTTTATTTCACTTATTTAATGTTTGCAATAGAGTTTTTCTTTTCTGAACATTAAACATTATACTTTTTAAACTATTTTCAAAAAACAAAAAATAATGACACAATTATAAAAATTATTTAACTATTAAAAATGTTTACAATTTAAATAAAATTTTGTTCCCTACTTGCGCTAATTTTAAAACCTGGTATTGTTACAGTTACAATATATGTTTGGTTTTCAACAATAATCCTCACTATGCCACTGGGTATTAGAGATGTCAGTTTCCATTCAATTAAATTTATAGTCATTGTATGCAAGGGTTAAAAATTCACATAATTCTTTTAAATTTTTCAAAAATTCAAATTTTAAATTCAAGCTTATTTGAATAAAAGATTTTTAAAAGACAAAAATTCTCTTGTTAAAATAGATTTATTTTTAAACTTTAAAATAGATTTATTTTTAAAAATTAATTTCTAAAAATTTTCATATTTATAGGAAATGTTTAATCTTGATATAACTATATAAAAAAAAGGTAATGCATTTTTCACATTCCATTTGGAATAATTTTGTTAAAACAATTTTTAGTTAAAAGCTTATGTGTTAACAACAAATAAGATATAAATAAAAACATTTCTATGGCAAACTTTTGCAAGTAAATGTTGTTTGTCAAGCATATCAAGTATATTTAATAGTTAATTAACTTAACTGTAATAACTGGTTGTTATAGTAACTGGTTACTTTGATTTAGTTTATAGGTAACTTTACTGTGATGTACTTTATCCATTAAGCAAATCAAATTAAAGACAATTATTATTGGTTCCACAAACAATTAATTAAATTTCGAGAATAATTAAAATTTAAAAGTGCTTTATGTTGATTGAAATCTGCATGTTAAATGGCAAATGATCATACTTCCACTTGAAAAATATATTTAGCATGACAAATTTTTATAGATGATCATACTTCCACTTAAAAATTATATTTAGCATAACAAATTTTTATAGATGACCCCTAATGAAAGCCTCGGAAAAAAAAAATCTATAATTTTATTAAAAGTTTGTTTTTAATTTAGCCCTTCTTAAAAGTTTTAAGAAAGGCCAAAGAAAAAGCTAAATTAGAAAAGAAAAAAGAAAAAAAATCGTAAAAATATTTTTTTCAAGAAAAGGAACTAATCAAGAAGGTGCTAAAAGTAATCGCAATACACTTAATTCAAGCCTGATATATAAAGAAAAATAGTGAAACTTACATTCAAATAAATAAAAAATTAATTGAAATAGTCCAAATTTGAATAAGTATTGGTAAATAAATCAAGACTTTTAAAAATTCTGTTTAGAATATACTACTTAAATTATATTTAAAAACTGTTTGATTAATACTTCATTATAAACTTTTTATTAGAATTTACAAATTTCATTCATGAATTATTTAATAAGGCAAAAACTATTTATATACACTATGTTTATAAAAATAAAAAACAAAAACCTGCATTCTTTGGCAAGCACCCTTTGCCAAAAAGCACAATCTGCAGCTCCCCCAGCCATTGTTCCAAGTAGGTATGGATTAATTTCGATTACTTTTTTAACAGTCTGAGATGCTAAAAATTGTTATAATATTATCATAATTCATAAATATACAAGTAACAATATAAAGTCCTTGAATTTCACTTCCTTAATAGTGAAAATCTGAAGTTCAACACTTACTCAATGACTCAACAATACTCTAACCTATATAAGATCCTGCAGATGCTCTTGAATCCACAGCAACAATGACACCATGTTTAAACTTAAATGCAAGAGTTGTAGTACCATGATGAAATTGAATCTTTGTATCACCATTAGTATATTCATTCAAGAATTGAGATACCTAAAAAGAAAAAATTATAAATTAGTTTTGAAAAAAGAATAAATTTATCAAAAGTAATTTATTTTTATAAACAAATACAAAAACTAAAAATGCAATAAAGGGCAAACTCTATGTATTTAATAACTAACTATATAATTAGAAACACACAGACAGATTATACACACACAGATCATCTGTCTCACTAAGCATCTTCATCTCTAAACTGTACAAGACGAAATGAGACAAAACGATAAAAAACATTATTTCGATAAAACCAGTACGAAATAAAACAATTTTTATACAATTTCGCAAAAAAAGGTACAGAACGAAACAAAATTTTTTGTTTTGTGAAAAACACGGTACAAATTGAAACAATAATTTTTGTTTTGTAAAAACTGGTACGAAACAAAATAAGATTATACTAAATAAAGTACAAAATTTTTTTTTTGTTAATTCACCTCCTCAAGGCCAAGAGGGCCACTAAAGACGAGGAGGCTACTTATTTGTGGTTATATAACCCTCTCTCAACTCTATAACCTCGAAACACCAACCTTGACGAACAAGGCCGCTGCGCGGAGAAACGAATTGAGCGCGGTACTACCAGGGGCGTTGTGGGGATTGAACTCTACCACTACACCACTACCGCTAATACAAAATAAGCAGAACAAAACGAAATAAAGTTAAACTTTTTAGTTAAATTTTTGTTTAAAAAACATAAGTTAGTGAGTATTAAACGCGCATTTGTTCTGCTTGAATGTTATAGTTCATGTATTACACGGAATTTTGGGAATTGGAAAATATCTGTTTGGAGTGGGGGAATTATGAAACGTTCTGTAAAAACCGATACGAAACGAAACACAATTTTCTTGTTTCGTAAAAATACGGTACGAAACAAAACAAGCCTTACTTGTTTAGTAAAAATATGATACAAAACGATATGATATTTTTTTATTTCATAAAAACGGCACGAAATGAAAACTATCATTTTCTATCGTGACAAGCCGAACTTTCGAAAGGATGCAAGAAGACGCAGATGTCTAGTCATTACACTAAAGCAAAAAACAAAGTTGTCATTGACAATGCAAATTTTTTACTAAAGCTGCAATAACAGATATTTGTTGGCTACATTATTGTGTGTTGCTACGACACATGTGTATTATTTTAATAAAATTTTGACAAAAATTGGTTAAAAAAAAAAAAAGATTTGATACTTTTGGTTAGCTACAAAATTATTTGACAAATATTTTAATACACACAACTAATATATACATATATCAATCAAATACATACTGTTGTATGTACATATTAATGATGTGCCATCCGCAAAGGCCAATTGAGGCTAATGATAGGGTTTAATGTATGTATATAAAGGTAACACCTTAACATTAGGTATGCAATTTGCATATATAAGGTGTGCCTATGTACTATTTTGGTTTGGCTTATTAGCCAATGACAATGTATCAGCCAATGCCAATTAATCAACCAATGCCATCGGACAATTAATCGGCTAATAGTTAAACCAATTAATTGGTTGCTGATTACCAATAGCATAGGCTAGTAGGTCAAATCACTTCTGATGAATAGGTACATGTTAAATATGTAATTTAAATCCTTAATATTATTATAATACCCTTAAATAGATACATTTTTTTTTTTTTTTTTTCAAGTTGATTAAGGTGCCCCAAGAAGTCCTTACAGTCTTATCACAGAGCACTGCCGAAGAGCATTATATATATATATATATATATATATATATATATATATATATATATATATATATATATATATATATATATATATATATATATACATATATATATATATATACATATATGTATATATATACATATATGTATATATATACATATATGTATATATATAATATATATATACACATATATGTATATACATACATATATATATATATATATACACATATATGTATATACATACATATATATATATATATATATATACATATATATATACATATATGTATATATACATATATGTATATATATACATATATGTATATATATATAATATATATATACACATATATGTATATACATACATATATATATATATATATATATATATATATATATAATATATATATATATATATATATATATACACATCTGTGTGTGTGTGTGTGTGTGTGTGTGTGTGTGTGTGTGTGTGTGTGTGTGTGTGTGTGTGTGTGTGTGTGTGTATTAGCTACAGTTATACATATATGTGTGTGTTAGCTACAGTTGCACAAAAATTATGGAAAGAATTATAAAAGATCACAATAATGCTTTTTTAAACAAATAAGAAATCCTAAATAAAAAAAACTACAGAAAATTGTAATTGTAAACAAAAAAACAATTGTCCAATGAGTGGAAGTTGTTTATCAAAAAATGTGGTAACAAATGTGTTGTTTCCTCTAAGAAAGTATCTGATAAACAATATATTGAAACACAGTGTTAAATGAAAAAAATTATAAAGTAATTTACTACTACTTTATATACCATAAATATGTAAATTGTTGCGCATTTACGTTACATGCGCAACAACTTTATCAAATATTTGCCAATTAAAACTGTAAATTAAATTTTAAACTATTTTGTATGAAAGCTGATAGTCTGAAGAATAAAATAAGCTAAAAAGTTTTGAGTCTGGTCAAAAGAGGACGAACTTATTACTGAAAATGCCACCTAAGTTATGTTACGCAGAAAAAAAAGTAAAAAAATTGTTTCAACTTTAAGGTCAGATTTCTGTGAATTAGTAATGCGGAATGTATTGGAAATTTTCCTAAGATGTTGAGAATTCTACAGTAATTGAAAAATATTTAAAAATTTATCAGGTGACTGGCTAGGGAAAATAAACTTGTTTTTTTGATATTTATATTTAACTTATGTTACCAAGCAATTATTATTGTGAATTTTCTATATCTATTATTAAGAGTTAGATTTTTGAGAGTTACGTAAACAAAAGAATTGTAAAAGTATTGAACTAATTTACCAAAAGTAACAAAATAACAAAAATAAAATAAAAAATAACAAAAGCATATTTAAAAAACTGGTGGCACTCTTCTTGAGTGATTTTTCATAACATTTATAAAATTTATAAAATCAAAAACAGTTTTTTCCGCATGATCAAGAGCAACTTTAAGAAATTCAGCATGACATTTTTTTTATTACTTATTAAGTCATTTAAATAAGAAAATCTTTTATTTTGTCAAAAATTTTACTTACACTTCTTATGTTTATGCTTTTATTGATATTATTATTATGTATTGCTTTATTTTCATTAGGTTGAAATTTTAAAATGCTGCTAAGTATTTACATTTAAATCTTTTAAATATTTTTGATGTAAAAATTGATAGAACTTATGAGGGAGAAGGGGTGCAGGTATATAGCTTGTGACAGCAGGAAAGAGATTAACCATTGATAAATATAGAATGACATACTTTATGGACATCCCCCTTAATTGTATTTACAAACGATTTGTTTACAAAAGTTAAAATATTAACCAAATACCAATTATGTATAAATGTAATTGTTCATTCAGTATGTAAATAGAACTTTACAAAAAAGTACCACTTTATAAAGGCATGTAGTTTTAACTTAGGGGCCATCCCCAAAGTACGTACGCAGGAATAAGCGGGAGGGAGGGTTTCCCAAAAACGTACAAACACGTACAAAGGAGGGGGAGGGGTTGTTAAAAACAGTGAGTACATACGCTGTTTTACTATATCTCATAAACTTGATTTTATTTTTTTTTAAACATTGAATTTCACATAAGTAATAAATCAGAGTTAATTTTTTTCTCTGACTTCAGCCACAATTTTTTTTTAATAATCTCTCTTTATAAATGATGAGGATAGAAAAAAAAAATCGAGTTCATTTGAAAAAAATAATGCTTATGTATGTGGAGGAAAGGAGGGGGGGCTTTGAAAGCGTACAGGTTCGTACAAGGGGGGGAGGGGAAGTCCTAAGTCAGTGGTTTTACTGCGTACATACTTTATGGATGCCCCCTTAAGTTACACAAATTGAAAATTAAAATGTGCTTTAACTAAGCATTGTTATTCAAAACTTTAAATGTAAAAGCGCAACATTTAATATTCTTTTGCATATATTATTAAAAGGTTTAAACTTTTTAATAAAATTTTAGAAACAACACTTTATCATGTTTTTGTTAACTTACATTACATGAAAATTGCAAAAGTTCTTTTGTTATTTTCTTAAAATATATGTATTTCTAAAATCTGACCAAAAACAAACTGAGCTCCATTTTCACACTAATTTAATTCAGATTACGCTAACAAATTGATGGTTAAAACAACATTTTGATACTTATTTTATGATGCAACAATTCATAAAATCGTAACTTTTGGAAGCATAAAAATTACCTAAATTAATTTTAATACTAAAGGTATATTTAAATGTGTCTACATCAATGTTCATTGGCTTAAAATTTAACAAAAAAGAGAATAAAATTTGACTACTTTTTCATTTTCTGCTGTGGAATTGCCCATTATATATTAGGGTGGTTCTAAAAACAACATTTTTTGAAAATATCTGCTGGCACCCTCTAAACGTATTTTATATAATAAATACTAGATTTAAAAAAATTTTAATAAAAAATATTTTTAAGAGTTGCTATGAATCTTTTCATGCAAAAAAAGTTTCATATTTGTAGTGTTTCACTCAGATATTTACTAAAACTATGTCCTGTATGAGACTATGTAATGTAAGTAACTTGTAAAATGACATGTCTAATATTGTGTCAGTAATATAGCAGTTAAGTCATAATACTATTAGATTGTGTGCTATTAGATTGTTTGTTCAATTATCACTAGTTAGGGTAAACTGGGGTAAAGTGAACTGTTTTTGATATTTAAAGGAAATATTTTCAAAATAAAAGCCAAAACATTTTGCAGTTTTCAAAATTTATACCATTTAAAGTATTAGGTACAATATAAAACAAAATACTAAGATTAAAAGCTACTTTTACAATATTAAATATATATTCAA